GTGCGAAGTCTGTTAGCACCCAATTCTTAACTTTTAATAATGCTACAAAAGCTAAACAAAATGGCAGACAAGATGTGACTCCCAGGCAGCCAGCTTGTGTGCATCCTAAAATTTTCCCTGGGTTCAGCCAGCAGAGCTGTGAACTCACACCACAGTGGCTTTTTCTGGGTGGGCCTTGGCATGCTGCGCTGACCTTCCTTGAAGGAGGAAGTGAGAACCAGTCCAGTGCTATGGGTCTGAGCCAGCCCATGAGATGGGGCCTTAAAGCCTCTCTTGGTAGACTAGCTCTGTAGGAACAAACAGGACACCCTCTCTTCTGATTCTGTGTATCTTCTGGGGGCTCCTACTGTACTTCAGGGGTACCTGACCTGGGTTGCTCCTGGAAAGGCAGGACAGCCCATGGAGGCCCCCAGCATTTACTACTGCTGAGAACTGTGCCCTGAGGGGTTTGGGGCTTGTGCTCTTGCCACTGCCATTGGAACACATGTGGCAGTTCTCCTGCCTCATTCTTTTTGGGGCATGGCCCACTCTGCCAGGCATCTGACATGTTCTTTGTCCCTGGCTCAGTTTGGGGGCAGCCCAGTGTCCTGCGCTGTGGGACTGGCTGTCCTGAATGTCTTGGAGAAGGAGCAGCTCCAGGCTCACGCCACCAGTGTGGGCAGCTTCCTGATGGAGCTCCTCGGGCAGCAAAAAATCAAACATCCCATCATCGGGGACGTCAGGTGAGGCTCTGGGGGCAGCAGTCACCACCCACCTGCCAGGGCCCAGTGTGGTACCATTTCCTTCACCTCCTAACCACCTGGGATGGTGGGATTATGTCCACTCTCATGAGGAATTGAGACACTGAAAGGTGCTATTGCCCAAAACAGCACTCCTGGGTACAAGAAAGCCAGTACATGACCGGAGCCCTAGCTACACCCGAGCCTCTCTCCTCTGTCCACACCAAAGATCCTTCCCAGTCCAGTTACTCCCTGAAACTGTTCTCACCACCTTCTGAGGGTGCCTCCTGTGCTCAGCCTCCCCAGGAGGCACAGGTAGGAGCCCAGGCAGAGGGTGAAGCGAGCACCCTGGCCCCTCAGGCCTGGTCTCCTGAGATGTCACCTTCCCCTCCAGGGGTGTTGGGCTCTTCATTGGTGTGGATCTAATCAAAGATGTGGCCACGAGGACACCAGCAACTGAAGAGGCTGCCTATTTGGTATCAAGGTATTTTCTTCTTCAAACAAGTTGTTTCCTGGAGTAGCAGACATCCCAGGTGCCTCTTTGCAGGGCCAGGGGCCCCAAGTGGAAAGGAGCGTCTTCATCTGTACCCCCATTCCTCGGCACTCTGGGCCAGACTTAACTGAAAAGAGGGCTGGGGGCTTGGGGGGACAGCTGATCCTACCAGCTGAGGACAGAGGTAAATGGCATTAGCAGTTCTGTACCCAATGACTGACCGCAAAGGCCGCAGATGAGACACAGGCTGTTTCCAGCTCAGAAGCACCTCTGCTTAGAATGCCCAAGTTAGCAGGGTGCTCAGACCCAGGAACCCCTAATGCCACCTCCCACAGGCTGAGGGCTGGAGAAGGAAAGCAGCTTCTCCAGTCACACCAGGGAGCTGTGGCAGCACCAGACTCTGGGTTCCTATGCCACGTAACAGGTGGTTGGGATGGACAAGACTCCTGCTACTAAGCTGGGTCAGGGGTGTCTCAGAACTCAAGACTCCACCGGCCCCACTGCCCCGGTTTGCTTTCACTTGGACCCCAAGGCCCCAGGACTTCTTCCCCTTCTAGTTTATGATTCCCTTTTATCTCCATTCCCCAGGCCTACACCCTCCCCTCTCCCCCACCACTTAAAGTTCTTCTGGTATCTGATATGTCCTTATTCTAACTGTGAGACATGCATGGTATTGTAAATTACCCTGTGCTGTATTTGAGCTTGGCCTGCCTTCTCAGTCACATCCCCAGCTTACCCCTACCCCCTTCCCAGGAACCTCAGGGATTCAGAATGGTCGGGTGGCATGGAAGGAAACCCACCCTTTCATCTCACAATACCCTAGGGGTGCTTTTCCAGTTGAGTGAGGAAATGGGTAAGTCACCTGCCGTCACCCTGCTAGGTGGCAAGGCCTAGATCTGGCCCCAGGGCCATATAACTTCAAAGTCCAAGCCCTGTTCTTTCTGGCATGGCCATGGTCAGTGCCAAAAAGACAGAGATACGAAAATGAAGCCAGAAGGCAGACTCCCCACCCTCTGCCAAGGCAAAAAAATAACAAGGTTTACAAAAAAAATGGGAACAAGGATCAAAGAATATAAACACAATCATGCACACCCCTCATCTCAGATGAGGTTAGGCTGTGGACTAAAAGTGATTGGTAGCTACAAATAAGATAAAGCCATCTTCCTAAAAATAATTGGAAATTTTAAACTGGAATTCTAAAATAACCCAGAAGACAGGGCAGGGAGATTCCTGAAGCTAGTGAGCAGCACGTGGGACTCATTATACCAACTGCACTGTTGGACATTCTCTATATAAGGAAACTATCCATCACGTAAACCATACACAAAACCAGAGAACTGCTTCTGGTGTTTCCCGGTGGCCATTCATTCTTGGCTTGGACTGGGGCTCCAAGGTTAGGTGCAGCAAGGCACCTGTTCTGGGGGCAGCATGTTCAGGGCCAGGTGTGATACACCCCAAGCAGGGGCTGCTGTGGGCCAGATGCACAGGACTTTGGCAGAGATGACCAGTATGGTGTCCTGGCAGGAACTGGGCCATGAAAGGCTCCAAAGGCAGTGTGGCTGAAGCACTGGATTTGAGGCCCTGGCCAGGCTGAGGAAGGCCTTTGAAGGCCATGTAAAGGGGTGTCCTATCCTCACAGGCTGAAGGAGAACTACGTTTTGCTGAGCACTGATGGCCCTGGGAGGAACATCCTGAAGTTTAAGCCCCCAATGTGCTTCAGCCTGGACAATGCACGGCTTGTGGTAGCAAAGCTGGATGCCATCCTGACTGGTGAGCTTGAACCCAGCAGCTAGAGCCTCCTAGCATGGAACAGGGAGGGGACAAGAGTCCAAGAGCAAAGGCACATGTCCTCTGGACAGTGCAGGGAGCAACAAGCAGAGAGGGACCTTCATGGCCCAAGCTGCTACTATTCCTTGCCTGTGCCTCACAGCTTCCGGGGCTATGGGGAGATGGAAGCTCAACCACCACCCAGCCTGCCTGAGCAGGCATCAGATGGATGCAGGACAAAACAAGGCTGGCCTGAGAAACTGGCCATAAGAACTACAGTGGGAGGTGAGAACCCGTTACTGCCAGCCTAGGGTGTAGCAATGGCAGGACTTTCATTCTGTCCATGAGCCAGGTCACATGAGGCTGCTGGGTGGCTGAAATAAGATTTGCACGGAGGGCTGACTGAATGCAAAATGAAAATTCTATCCCACATTCCCCTTCACCTAGGATAGTCAGTGTCAACCCAGGGTCCCCCCAAATCCATTTACAAGGAAATCTCCTGGCTGCATTGCCATTTACAGCTCAGTGAGACCCCAAATAGGCAAAGCTACATCTCACAGTAGAGATCAATGCTGCCACCCAAGCAACCTGTGCCCTTCTACCTCTAGATGATTACTGCTACCCATAGGCGTGTTTAATTCCCAGGGCTCTGGAGCTGGGGGAGACCCATCCCTGCTAGACACAATTGGAAGTGGTAGGGATCTGATGCGGAAGGAAATGTGTTTGTGGGGCGCAAAGGCTGGCCACAGAATTGGCTTAGGGATCCTGGGCAGAGCTTAGAAGTCTAGAACTGAAGGCTGACTTTGTGCTTTTCAGGAAATTGCTGCTACCCCTTTGGGGAGTAAGACATGGGTGTGGATAGCCAGGGGGCCTAATCTCTGAGCTCCCAGTTTGGACACTGAAGTAACAGGGGGTCTTCAGAGAAAGGTGAGTGAGTTGGGGTGGCTTTGTGGTCTTTTTCAGACATGGAAGAGAAGGTGAGAAGTTGTGAGACGCTGAGGCTCCAGCCCTAAGCCAGCCTGCTCTGCCTAAGTGTACACTCCAGGTGAGTGGGCCTTGTTTCTTGCTGTTGGAGATGCCGAGCAGGTTCCTTACCATCAGCAGTGAGCAGCCTCAGCAAGCTGTGCCTTTATAAAAGACGTTTTTGTTCTGATTGATGCTCCTTCCCAAAGGTTAGTTTCAACACTGGAAAATCTCCAACGCTTAGCTTGCATTTGATGGCAGGAATAGCCGTTTCCTCCCTTAAAACCTACGGAGCTGTATGCACGTGGAAGCCCAACCTGCCGGTACCTCTTGTAACCACCTATTCTTATGCCCCAAATACCTGACCTGGAGTTGGGCTCCCCTCCAGCCAATAAATAAACCCTGCTAGAGCAGGCTTTTCTGTACCAGCCAGGAGGGGGCACTGTTGTGCCCCAATTCAGCTGACTCTGGCACTGACCTACTGTGTAAAGAATTGCATTTTCGGCTAGGCGTGTTGACTCACGCCTGTAATCCCAGCACTTTAGGGGGCCGAGATGAGAGGATCACGAAGTCAGGAGATGGAGACCATCCTGGCCAACATAGTGAAACCCTGTCTCTACTAAATACAAAAAAAATTAGGTGGGTTTGGTGGCATGTGCCTGTAGTCTCAGCTTGAACCCGGGCAGTGGAGGTTGCAGTGAGCCGAGAATGTGCCACTGCACTCCATCCAGGCAACAGAGCAAGATTCCATCTCAAAAAAAAAAAAAAAAAAAAAAAATACCATTTTCATTCATCAGCCAAAAAGCTTGGTGTTCCAAGGTGTTCCAGGAGGGGGCATGCCTGCTGGGGATGTGAGGCCTCACTGCCCCATCCTTATTCCCCATAAGCCTCTTACTCCTTTCATTAAAGGGAGGCCAGTCCTTAAAATGGACATGCCAACAACTGGACCTGCAGTTGGGAAGAGTCTGCTGTGGGGAGGAAGCCTCAAGGCCAGGGCACCTGGCACCCCCCACCCTGAGAAAGAGGTCTCACACAGCATATCCCACACTCACCCAGGCTTGGGGGTTTTTAAATTTTTATTTCAAAAGCTTGGATAGCTTTAATATCCAGGTTGTGGCAAAATCAGGACACGTGTAAAATACCTTACAATACATTAGATTCCCAAAAGGTACCAAAAAGTACAGTAAAATTAACACTTCCATTACAGGAAATGTATGACACAAATAATATAAAATTAAAAGGTGAAAAAAAGGTGACACTGGTTTCCTAAGATACAATTTGCTCTTTACAACCAGGGCCCACAGGTTCAGGCTGCAGAGCAGCAGCAGGAAGCAGAGCCTCCCATCTGGTTCTGGGGGACCTGGTAATAAAAATCAGCCCATAATGCCACTCTGGCCTCTCAGATACCACACCCTGCCTAAACAACTAGAGCTCTGGAAATAGTAAACAGGAGAGTGATTTCCATGGGGGAAATTTTAAATAAGATGCACATGGGACAGGCCATAGAAAGTTTGTCAAGTTAAATTTGGTACATAATTGTGTTCACTCCATATCCAAACAAAGCATGTGTGCAGTCAGTTGGTCGCTCCTGCTGCCGCCTCAGTATGGCTTGTAGTTATTCTGATGGCCACCACGTCGCTGGCTCTTGCCGTAGTTTGTACTACCCTGACCTAGGGATGAGAACAACCATAGCAGCTACTATTTACGAGCATTTGCCCTGTGCCAGGCGCTTGATATGCATCTTCATAGGCTCTTTACCAGCCCTGGGACAACAGATTGCCTTCCTCACCTTACTAAGGCCTAGAAGTCTATAAGGGCTCAAAATCAAGTCGCTCCCATGGCTGAGCCAGGCCTGTCTGACTCCAAAGCCCCTGCTGCCGGTGGCTCCTGCACTGTCTGTCCTGCCTCCCCTGGGGGCGGTGAGTGGATGGGGCCTCCGTCTCTCCTACTTACTGTAGTCGTAGCCGGGGCCGTAGCCGTAATAGCCATAGGGCGAGTAGTCGTAGCCGCCATAGCCAGGCCCGTAGCCCTGCTGGTAGCCGTAGCCCTGGTTCCAGTAGTTGCCGTAGCCCTGATTCCAACTCTGACTCTGACCTGTGGGGGGAGCAGGGCACAGGGGCCCGTGGACCATTTAGCATATGCAAGAGCTAGGATGGAGGAAATCCTGCCCTTTGGGTGGCAGGTTACTATGGCAACTCAGGCAGAAGCCAAGGGGCTGCTGTTCTGGTGTACAGGGCCCTGGGCCCAACCCTGCATCTAAGAGACCCAAGCAAAGGATGAAAGACCAGGATGCTAACTTTACTCAGGGTAAACAAGGCAGCTCACTCACTCAGTCACTCTCTGATCACTCCCACTCTCCTTGGCAGCTTGGCCTTTAAAAAGATACAGTTCAGGCTTTGGAGTCAGAGGGGCCTGGGATGGAAGGGGATAAACGCCTGGCACAGCTCTGCCCTACCCACCCTTCTGCCTACCTGCTCAAAGGTGTTCCAGACTCAGGACATCCACAGAGCCAAGACATCCATCATGTCCCCTTCCCCAGAGTATAACACAAATGCTCTCTGCCCCGGGCACCCAAGCCATTCCAAGGGGCAGCAGCAGGCAGCAACAGCCTCAAGCACACAGCCCCCACCCAGAGCCATTCCTATTCCTGCTCATTCCCCACCTTCCACAATCTGCCCACCCTTGCTGCACAGCACCAAAGGGAGCCCCAAGACAGGCATGGAAGGCTCCATGTAGGTAGACAAACAGGACCCATCTTCATCCAGGTTCTACTCACCTCCACCTCCACCACCACCTCCGCTGCCTCGGTTCCCTCGGTTGCGGTTTCCACGGCCCCCAGAGCCATACTGCTGCTGCTGATAAACTTCTTTAGGCTGGGCCACCTTGATCTCACACTAAAATGCCAAGAGGACAGTGGTCAGGCCAGCAGGACAAGCTCAGGGCAGTGACTGCACAAAGACCTTCACTGCAATAAACATTCAGATGGTAGATCAGGTCCATTTGCTTAACAAACAAAATATACTACTGTGGAAAGCCACCTGTGGGCTAAAGCTCATGGAACCCCAACTAAAACCAAGGGCCTTCCAGCTGAGACCCTTTCCCACAGCCCCAGGGCAACTCCATGTCTAACCGGGGCCAACTGCAGCCCAGGGGAGCACAGGACAGGCTGGGAGCAAGAACTACACCTTGGTCCTACTGGGCATGAAGGTCAGATAAGACTTCTCAAATGAGGGGCCTTAGAAAATGAAGTTTTAATATCTTTTTCTCTTTACAGAAGAAACTCATCTCATTCAAATACACGCTATTGAGAAGGTGACCCTGACCTCCCTCTTACAGATAAAGCCAGCTTTCAGAAGCTCAGGGTGGGTGGGGGGCCTGCCTGAGGCCATAATGCTACCCACCCCTTCTTCTTAACCACTGGTCTGCTGTTGGGATAGGCCAGACATCTGCATCCCCTCAAGTCAATTTCCTTTTTGTCCACTGGGGGTGGGTTCAGGTAGGGCGGGGTACTTTCAAGTGCTACTGCTTAAATAAGTTAGACCAGACCAGCGTATTTCTAAGGAAAATGCTGATACACACCCCCATTAAAAATAGTACATTTTAGTGTCCCCAATCATACTTTAATTGGCAAATTAAAATGATGCAATCTGATTTAGTCTATCATACTGAATTAAAAACACTGAATACAACCAACTAAATATATTTATTCCTAAGACTCACTCCCAGTAGTTTCACTTAAACCCTGCCTTAGAGGCTTTTCCCACCCATTTCCCATTATGGCACAGAGAAAAAGGCCTCTTTATTACTGTCCACTGGAGTAATAATCAGTGCCCCCCAACTGCCTCTCAGACTTGTCATTTTACAGAAAATTTAAGACAATCCTAATCCAATCCTCCCAAACTCCCAGCCAGGACAGACTTCCAGGAGCTCCACCTGTACCACCTCATCTGGCTGCCAAGTCCTGCTCAGATACAAGAAACTGCCACACCCTGCCACTGCAGGCCACACCCTCAACTCCTAACTGCCAACTTGAATTCTGAACTACCCTCTCCCTGACCAGAGTTCAGGAGAGTTACACCTCTCCGCACATGATTCCACTCATTTGAAAGTAAAGCTGACCCTGGATTTAAGGTGGTCAGGACCCTGGCACCTCTTTGAAAGGATTTTTGCCTGGGTATAGGGTTGATTAAAGAAGTGCCCAGAAGACCAAGTGAGATGGTTCATGCCTGTTATCTCAACACTTTACAAGGCCAAGGCAGAGGATTGCTTGAGCCCAGGCAACATAGTGAGATCGGCTTTAAAAAAACATATGAGCTAGGCCTGGTGGTGCATGCTTCTGGTCCCAGCTACTGGAGAGACTGCAATGGCAGGATCCCTTCCATCCAGGAGGCCAAGGCTGCAGAGAGCCATGATTGTGTTACTACACCCTGGGCAATAAAGCAAGACCCTGTCTCAAAGCAAAAGACTACTCAAAGCAGATGGAAGTGGACAAAGATTTGGTTTAGAAGAAGGCAGAAAGGCTCTGGAGCAAGAAAAACTTCACCACAGAGGAAAATCAGTGAGTTGCATAAGTTCCGGGATCTTCTGAGACCTTAACTGCAGGCTTCATACACCCTGGACTCAAGAATCTAGAACACTGTCACCTCTGGCTTTAAATGAGGAACCAAAGAGGCTACCCAACCTGTTGTATTCAGAGGCCACCTTCTCCTGCCTCCTTCACATCCTGTATTGTTTACTAGCAGTCCTCCCAGCCTGGGAAGTCTCTGAAGGATGGCAACACTGCCCCAATCAGGGCAGCATATGCTTACTTGGAGAGCTCCTGCAGGTGGCCCAGCCCCTAACCCACCCGTGTAAGGGCCAGCTCTCCAGCACCACAGGAGACCAAGCAGGGCTGGGGACACCTTACCTTGCTTCCACTGATAGTATGAAACTTTTTCTCCAGAACCTTCTTTACAGGTTCTTCTTCTTTAAAGGTGATAAACACAAAACCTCGTCTTTTGTTCAACTTAGGATCTATTGGAAGTTCAATGGCCTCAATCTGCAAAAAGCAGAGGCAAACTCAGGTCCAATACTTCCCTACCCTCAGGGAATACAGGGAACTCACAGGAGAAAAGACCCCACTGAAGGCAAGAAATAGTGAAAAGTAAGCCCTGCCTGGGAGGGTCTAGCCAGCCAAGGATACCAAGGACCAGAAAGAAGGCAGTCTTAGAGCGGCTGGTGGGCTACTCCCAGGGCCACACTCACCTCCCCAAAATCGCCGAAGTACTCCCTGATCTTTTCCTCAGTGGCTTCAGGATTCAGACCCCCGACAAAGATTTTCTTCACCGGGTCCTTCTTCATAGCCATGGCCTTTTTAGGGTCAATGACACGGCCATCCAACCTGTGCTCCTTCTGGTCTAGAACCTGTTCCAACATACAGGGATCAGGATCTGACTCAACAGCATGAGCCAGACAAGGCCCTTCTCTCTAAGCCATAAAGACACCAGCATAGATACAAAAATGTGTTTCATCACCTCCAAATTCTACCCCAGCTTATTAACCTCCCAACCCACTTTTCTTCAAACCTCAAGTACAGCTGGTTTACCTCGACAACTAGAAACCAGTCCTCACCGTTGAGCCTTTGATCATGCTATGTACCCTCTTCCTGCCCATGCAATCCCAGCGTGAGGCCCATCTCCAGAAGCAAAGCAGCAGGGACTCAGCATAGGCTTAAGATGGGCTGCAGGGGATGGAATCCTCGCTCCACACCCTTACTAGCTGTGATCTCCTCTACTTAAATCCCTGTGAGCCTTAGGGTTTTGCTTTTTGTCCTATAAAATGGGGCTAAAAGTCTATCTCATAGCAATTTTGGACTCTATTGTAATCCTCCCAGATGTTTGGCACGGTACCCAGAATAGGTACATAAAAGATACTGTCAACTATAATCTTCCCAAACCGCTCCAGCACATACTCTTGACTCCCAACTTGTATTTTTATCCCCTCAAAAACTGGAACCTAACCTCTGGCTTTGCCCAAAGCACTCAACCACATGCAGAACACAAAAAACTAGTTATGCTGTAGGAAAGGTGTCCTCTTAGAATTCAAATCGTTTCCACTGAGACTGCTGAAATCCAGTACCCAGCTTACCTTCTCCACACTGGCCGCATCTTTGAACAGGATAAACCCAAACCCTCTTGACCGTCCAGTGTTGGGATCCATTTTTATTGTACAGTCAACCACCTCTCCAAATTTAGTAAAATAGTCTTTTAAATCTTTTTTGCTGGTATCCCAGCTCAGGCCACCAACGAACATTTTTCTGAAATGGTAGAGTGAGACACACGGCAACAAGTCTTAAGCAAGCTGTGATTTTGGAAAGCACTGGCCCTGGCAAAGCTCGCACAAAGTTTACAGCGACCCTTAAGAGTCTTCAAGGTGCACGTTTGAAGGATGTTAAATCTCCACTACCCTCCAAATTCAACCAAACCAGGACCCTAAAGGCTTAACAAGGCTTTGCAGCCCCAGGCTGTGAGAAGCAAAGAAAGCACCAGCTCACCAGGCGTATGGGCCCTGACCACTCACACCTGGAAATTCATGTGTTCTACAACCATGTATCAAAGGGCCAGCGTCTTCACCACCTCCTGAGAACTAATTTCAAGGAACTCGAGGCTCCCGGGGGCCAAGCCCGCCCAGGGTTCAGAACATGACTCCGCCCCCGGGAGAGGCGGAGGAGGACGGTCCGGGGCCGGCGCACGCCAACTCCGCCCACGCAGCCCCGGGGCAGCCCGAGGAGCTGCCGCCGGGCCCCGGGTCCGTGCACTTTCCTTCTTCCGGGCCGCCCGCCCCTGCGCCGGCTTCGGCCCTGGCAGCGCGCGAGCGGCCCTGGGGCGGCGCCAAAGTCGACCCAACAAACTCCTGCAAACTCCAGCGCGAGCGGCAGCGCCAGGCCCGGCCCGCGAGTGCGGCGGGGACGATCCGTAGGCCGCCCCAGCCTCGACCCGAGCCAGGCCGCCGCCCCTCCCCCCGCCGCGTGGCGCCAACAAAAGGCGGCCCCGGAACAAAGGCGGCGCCCCCGTCCTCCCGCGGCCGCACCTACCCCGCGTCTTCCTCATTCTTGCTGGCGTTGATCTGGTCGCCCTCGGCGCCGTTCTGATTCCCGCTCGGGGGCGCCACGGTCGCGCCTCCAGCCCCTGCCGTGGCGCCCGCGCCAGCCCCGGCCGGCGACTCGCCTTCGGGGGCGGCCTCGTGTCCGTTCTCGGTGGCACCCGTCGTCTCCATGGGCTGCTCCTCGCCCGCTTCCGACATCCTAGGCCGAAGCGCGGCGGCTCCTGCAACCAGCGGCGACAGCCCGTCAGGCCAGTGCGGCTCCCGCCTGCCTCCTGCCTCCCGCCTCCCGCCGCCCGCCGCCCGCCGCCCGCCGCTCACCTCGCCGCCGATGACGCCGCGGGGCCCGCTCGTCCCCACCCGCAGGGAAAGGCGCCGCGAGCTCGGCCGCACTCAAGCTCGCGCTGCTGAGGCCTCCCCTCAGTCACGCGACGGAGCTTTTCCAGCTCCGTCTCCTTCTCCCGGGCCGCGACCGCACGAGAACCCACCAGCCAGCCCACAACCGAGCTCCCGCCCGCGCGGTGCTGCCGCCTGACAATGCCGTCTCGTGGCGCCCTTTATAATGCCGGAGCCGGGGCCCCCCACTTCGCAACAAACTGCACGCTCATTGGCTGCTCAATCCCGTCACTCAGCCTGATAGCAGCCTCCCATTGGGCTTGGTGGCGCGCGCGCTCTAGATCCGGGCGGGCTTTGTCCTCATTTAGAACGGGTTCTGCCCTGCGGAGGGTTCCCGAAGCCGGGCGGGACGGCGCCAAGTTCAGGTTGGCCGGACTGCAGCCACAGCATAGCGCTGGGAGAGCCTGACTGTACCGTACTCTCGTCGAGGCGGTAATCTCTCGCTTTCGTGCGCTTCATTCCAGCATTGGCAGCCTCCTCCTCCCCATGCCCCAAAAGAGGAAACTGGGCCGGAGAAAGTTTCGCAGCCCAAGGTTGCGTCGCTTGAAGTGGCAGAAGTCAGGCTTCTGAGGTTGGGCTAGTGGGGTCCTCCAAGGCCCTCAGCACGGCTCCGAGGGATTGGAACGTAGCCCGCCCTCTCCCTGGACCTTGGTGCTCTCCAAGCCCTGTGCTTGCGCCCTTTCTGCCGCCTCCCCCAGAGATGCTCGGCAGGGACGATGAGACCTTGGTGTTATCCGATCTTCGGTTCCCTGGCACCACCTTGACTACGGACATCGCATTTGTACTTCTGTTTACTTAAAATTTTTCCTTCAAATCAATCCATTTATTTGTGTTTGGATTTCTTTCTTTCTTTTTTTTTTTTATTGAGACAGAGTCTCGCTTGTTTCCCAGGCTGGAGTGAAGTGACGCGATCTGAACTCACTGCAACCTCCGCCCCCTCTTCAAGCAATTCTCCTGCCTCAGCCTCCCAAGTAGCTGAGATCACAGGCGAGTGCCACCACACCCGGCTAATTTTTGTATTTTTAGTAGAGACGGGATTTTGCCATGTTGATCAGGCTGGTTTCGAACTCCTGACCTCAGGTAATCTGCCCACCTCGACCTGTCTAAATGCTGGGATTACAGACAGGCATGAGCCACCGCGTCCGGCCAGTGTTTCGTTTTCGTTTGTTTGAGACATGGGTCTTGCTCTGTGGCCCAGGCTCGTCTCAACTGCTGAGCTCAAGAGATCTGCCCGCCACGGCCTCCCAAAGTTCTGGGATCACAGACTCAGCCACCTCGACCGGCCCTATTTATTTTTGTTGAAACTTTTTTTTTTTTTTAAGACACATAAACCACTTAACTCTTGAGTTTAAGGACGGGGTGGAGGAGTTCTTCCTAATCCGCAAAACTCCTTTGTTATTTCCTTGACCACAAAACTTGAAAGGCCTAGGTAATCCCGTTATTCCATTTAATCCAATGGTTGGCCGGCCCCAAGGCAAGCAGGATTACAACCTCCCAAGCCTGCATGTTACCAAATAGGAACCCAGAATACAAGGAGCTAGCGTTTCCATCGGATTCCTGCAGCCAGGACCAATGTGGCAGACTGAGGATTCCATTTTTCTCCTTTATGTCTTTACGACCCAAGTAAGGTGGTACCGTCACCAATTTTATTTTATTTTTATTATTTTGTTTTTTAACACAAGATTTTGCTCTGTAACCCAGGCTGGAGTGCAGTGGCACGACCACAGCGCTCTGCAGCTTCAACCTCCGGGGCCCAATTGAGCCTCCTGCTTCAGCCTCCCAAGTAGCTGGGACCACAAGTGTAGCTACCACACCTAGCAAATATTTTTGTATTTTTTATAAACACAGGGTCTAACTATGTTGCCCAGCTGGAATACCAATTTTTTAAAAATTTTTATTTATTATTTTGAGACAGAATTTCGCTCTTACTGCCAGGCTGGAGGGCAATGGCACAATCTTGATTTACTGCAACCTCCGCCTCCCAGGTTCAAGCGATTCTCCTGCCTCAGCTTCCCGAGTAGCTGGGATTACAGGCAGAGTTTGTCTGTGTTGGTCAGGCTGGTCTCCAATTCCTGATCTCAGGTGATCCGCCCCCCTCAGCCTCCCAAACTGCTAGGATTACAGGCATGAGCTACCACACCCGGCCCAATTTTCATTTTTTATGTTATTTTGAGATTGGGGTCTCTGTTACCCAGGCTGGAGCGCAATGTCGCCATCTTGGCTCACTGCAACCTCCGCCTCCCAGGTTCCAGTGATTCTCCTGCCTCAGCAGATTACAATAGCTTGTATTACAGGTACATTCTACCACATCCAGCTAATTTTTGTATTTTTAGTAGAGATGTGGTTTTACCATGTTGACTAGGCTGGTCTTGAACTCCTGACCTCAGGTGGATCACCAATTTTAAATGAGAAAACTGAAGTCCAGAGCAGTGGCCCAAAGCTACACAGCCAACTCAGGCACTGACTCCACCCAGGCAGTAGAATTGCCCTGAAGATGAAAATCGAGTTTCACTTTTGAAAATACATGGACTTCAGACTTTTCTAGGAAAGTCTGAAGATATAGCTACACTGCACTGCATTCCCCGAAGGTGGCAATCAAGTGGAGCTGGGATACCCATACCCAGGTGAGCAAGTGCTCTCTGGTCACCCCATAGCCACTCTTCACTCTTCCAGGCTAGATTCCACAACAGAAAGTCACATATTTCCATACAACCTTACTCATGTCACTGAGATCTGGCAGCAAGGCTTTCAGGGAGGTCTCTAACAAACTGCTCACCCCACCTCTACCCCAGCCCTTGTCAACCCACACAAATGGGGGCCACAGCCGTGGCCTGCAGGAAATGATGGACACAGCTCCCCAAGCAGTGAAGGTAATTCAAGAAATTAAGTTCAAAGTCAAATAGTGTACATGCAGCCCAAGGACATGACTGTAGGCATAAATTCTCTTCACCTTCCACATGGATTCCTTTAGCACAACTCAGAAACACTTTCAGTGACATGTAAAGTCTGAGGATACAACATTTGGACAGCGCTTAGCAGCTTGCAAAATGCTTCCACCAACCTTGCTTTATTGGTGCTTCAAAATAGCTTTTTTTATGCAGTTACCCATATTTTATGCACAAGAACACTGAAACCACAGCTAAAACTGTGGCCACAAAACCAACACATCCAACTCCACATTGGGGATTGTTTCCAGGGCTCCTGGCTACTGTGGGACAAGGTGTGTCTGAGCTTCTGAGTTCCTTCCTAGTGAAACCCCATCTCTACTAAAAATACAAATAATTGGCTGGGCCTCGTGGCCCAGGCCTGTAGTCCCAGCTACTCGGGAGACTGAGACATAAGCATCACTTGAACCTGGGAGGTAGAAGTTGTAGTGAGCTGAGATTGCACCACTACACTCCAGGCTGGGTGACACAGAGACTCTGTCTCAAAACAAAAAAAAAAAAATTATTCTGAAACTCAAATAAAGTAATGGCTTAGAAAATACTTCATAAACAAGAAAGAAATGAAAAAAAGGGGGGGCCCCCAAAAAAAAAAAAAAAAAAAAAAAAAAAAATGCCTTCATATTGTATCCAAGGATGTTTCTGCCAGAGGCAAGGCAGCACACTGTTTGGAAACAGTGGTAAGTCCTTTTGACACAAGGCTCCCTACTTTTGTTATTAGGTCCAGTTAGAGACCCTGAGTGGGGGGCACTTCCATGACAGCAAGGTTCTCAAGTCAGCCAGGAGCTGTGTTACCCCTGAAAATCTCTTAAAATACCCATAGAGTATATACTCCCTGGCTTATTTGGGCTGTCCAGAATATGTGCATAAAATGTGTACAATCTCGGCCAGGCGCAGTGGCTCACATCTGCAATCCCAGCACTTTGGGAGGCCAAGGCAGGTGGATCATGAAGTCAAGAGATCAAGACCATCCTGTCCAATTGGTGAAACCCTATCTCTACTAAAAATACAAAAATTAGCTGGGCATGCTGGCATGTGCCTGTAGTCCTAGGAGGCTAAGGCAGGAGAATCAGGTGAACTTGGGAGTGAAGCTTGTAGTTCCAGCCTGGTGATAGAGCAAAAAAAAAGTGGACAATCTCCAATCTAGAAAAGGATACACACAAAATGCTTTTAGATCATTTTTTAATTATATGAATTAATTTTTCTCACATTCTTTTTTTTCGGTTTGTTTTTTGGCTGAGCCTGCAAGGTGGAAGTTGCATGAGTTAACTACAAATATATTGTGCCTCAGCTGTGGCCAGCTCCCACTGCCGCAGCTTCCACACTCCACCAGACCAACCCCAGCTCCCCTCATTCAGGGGAGCTGGAGTCCTCCAGCCAGAGGGATCTTTCTAAAACACAAGTCATAAGATCTGAGCGCTACAGTGAAAAAGGAAAAATTTCAAATGCAAGTCCCATCTTGTCACTACCTCTGTGTGAAAACTCTGGCTGACTTCCCAGTGCTGTGAGGATGAAGCCTTAGCCTTAACTTCAGGTGAATACAAGTGGGAGAGACAATTGGGGCTCCCAGAAATCCGTGTCCCCAACTTGTCAGCCTCCCTTGCTGTGTAGTCTTTGAGCGGAAGGGTCCCTTTCAGGCTGGGGCCATGGAGACTGGGGGCCTCCTCCAGACTTCCCTTCCCCCGGTGACCATGTGTTCTACGTGGCTAAGCTACCTTATGAAGAAGGGCTGTTCAGCCCGCATCAGATTTGATGCACCTGAAAATGGACCTGTACTGGGCCTGGCACTGAGATTTGGGATTTTTTTTTTTTTTTTTTCTCAAACTGTAGCCTGGCCTACCTCAACCCTTCCACCTGGCCTTTAGGGCCGGCATGAGCTGCCTCAGCTGCACCTCCTTGCCACTCTCCACTCCAGCTGTGCTGAATTTCTTTTACTTCCTGGAACTCACCAGTGCCCTCCTGCCTCTGGGCCTTTGCACCTGCTGTTCCCTCTACCTGGAACAGTCTTGCCAAATATCACCTACCTATTGTACTCATTATGGGTTGAATTGTGTGACCCCATAAAACATATGTTCAAATCCTAATTCCTGCCTCTGAATGTGGCATTACTTGGAAATAGTCTTTTCAGGTATAATCAAGTTAAGATGAGGTCACACTGGAATAGGGTGGGCCTTTAATCCAATATGACTGGTGAACTTAAGAAAGGGAAAGACAGGGACACACAGGAAAAACACCACATGACAACGAAGGCAGAGGTTG